AGCCGCACCCGCGCCGTGGTCCGCTGCCGCTCCGACGGGGAGAAGCAGCCGCCGGCGGGGAAGACCGGGAGGGTGTTCGCGGCCTCCGCGAGAAGCCGCTCGCGCTGCTGGGCGGGGTCGAGCCCGGCGAGCCCGAAGGCCTGCACGAGGACGAACCACAGGGCCCGGGTGTCGGCCTCGGCGCGGTGGAGGGCCCCGCCTGGGGTGATCCGCAGCTTCTCGATCAGCCGCCCGAGCCGCAGCGACGTCGTGAGGATCTCGAGGAGGGCGTGGTCGACCCGGTCCCGCCGGTGCCGCGCGGCGACCAGGCGGGTCTTCAGGCCCCGCAGCAGCACTATCGAATCGCAAAAGAGCACCTCCCCGAGTTCGATCGCCTGGCAGGGGTGGCGGGCGAAGGCCCGGCGGAGCATCGGCTCGTCCACGCCGAAGACGTTATGGCCGACCAGGACGAGGATCTCGTCGGGGTCGCGCTGGGCGAGGAAGGCCCCCACGCCCCTCACCACCGCCGCCAGGCCCGGGGCCTCGCGGACGGCCTCGTCCGTGATGTGGTGGATCTCCACCGTCCGAGGGGAGATCGCGCGGCCGGGGTTCACCAGCGACGAGAAGGACGTCCCCTCGACCGGGTCGAAGAGGGCGATCTCGATTATCTCGTCCGAGCTCACGTTGAGCCCGGTCGTCTCGACGTCGAAGAGAACCAGGCGGTAGCGCTTTCGCTGGTCGGCGCCGTCGGCCGTGAGGTGCTGGGCCACCCGGAGGGAAAGCCGCGCCCCCCCCGAGGCGATAATCCCCGCCTCCGCGGCGTAGCGCTGGAGGTGGACTTCCCCGTCTAACTTCGCGAAGTCGCCGAAGCGATGGCAGAGATGGATTAGGTTCGCCAACCACTGGCGCCCGCCGCAGGTGCGCTCGGCGTGGCCGAGGGTGATCTCCCCGCCGAAGAAAAAGGCCTCGAGGTGCTGGATGGAGGTCCAATCGAAGTACTCCCGCAGATCCACCGGGACCTCGAGGGGGATCCGCGCCTCGAGGGCGTGGTCGAGGACGACGGCGGCGCCGCGCAGGGCGCTCGCCTGGCGCTCGGCCTCCTCGGCGTCAAGAAAGATCCCCGCCCGCTCGATTGCCGCCATCGCGAGCAGGGCGTCCATCCGGTGGGCGAGGCTGAGGAGCTGCGACTGCCCCCGGCCCCGCTCGAGGTGCTCGCGGAAGATCCCCGCCACCATCTCCGCACTCGGCAGGAGGTGACGGCGATAAAAAGCCAGCGGGAGGGCCTCGATCGGGGTGCCCAGGACCGCCGGCGCGGGCAAAAGCCCGCCGTATTTTAGCGCGAGCTCGCAAAGCCCCCCACCGTCCCCTCCGCCGGCGCCGTTAAAACTCGAATTCCCGTTCGCGGTGCCGGTGCGATAGCACTGGGCCTCCAGGAGGTACTCGCCGAGCATCGTACACCACACCCGCCCGCCCCTGCGAAGAAACTGCGTGAGCTCGGCGTCCTCGCCGAGGTGGAGGATAAAATGTTTGGCGTTGTGCACGACGAGGACGTCGAATTCGCTGAGGGATGGGAGGCCGAAGGCCCCGCGGTGGGTGTATTTTGCCCAGGGCTCCAGAAGATTGCCCTTATAATCCAAAAAACAGGCGCTGAGGATGTAATTCCGCGGCGAAAGGGGGTTCCGCGGCCGGCCGTAGTCGCTGTGGTCGGTGGCGATATAAGACACCACGACGTACTTCCGATAGCGCCGCTGCTCCGCCAGCTCCGCGGCCTGCCGCTTGGGGTGGCGTAAAACCTTCAGCCAACGATCGACTTCGCTCGGGGCGATGACAATCGCCTCCTCCTTCTCGTCTGGGGAGTTCGCCTCATTGGCGTCCCCCTCCTCCGCTTCCGCGGTATCCCCGGATTGCGAATTGGGGGAGGGCGTCTTCCGCGCGCTGGCGGGGGATTTTCCCCCACCGGTCCGACTTTTGGGCGGCTCGGGCGCCTCCGCAGGGTCATCCTCGTCCTGCTGGCGCTTTTTCAAATAGACCCGAAGGGTCTTCCCGGCGGTGGTGTAGACCTGCATGAGCAAATCCGCGCCTTTCAGCCCCTTGCAGATCTCCTTCAGGGCGTTCCAATAGCCGGAGGGGTCTGAATGATAGACCCGACGGTAGTTTTCGTGCATCTCCGAGGCGAAGACGACGACGCATTGATGGCCGGACTTCTGCAGGGCCGTCCGGCAGCGAAAAAGCATCGCGCGGTCGGTGCGGTTGGTTGGGATCAAAATGCATTTTGTCGTGTGCGTGGAGAGAAGGGCGGCGATGACGTCGGAAAGCATGCCTTTCGCGGAGAGCCGGCGTCTGCGCACCGGGTCGAAGATCGAGATATTCATACTCCGCGTCCCCGCCTGCACCAAATGCACCACAAACACATCAAACCGCGGGAGAATCAGGGTGTTGAGGGTTTGGATCGGGTCCTTGTCGAGGGCCCGACAGGCCAGAGTCCGCAAAAACACCCAATGCGCGCGAAACCACCCTTCCGAGAGCGCCGCCGGCGCCACCGCGCCGTCGCTACTAACCGGGACCCCCGCTAACGACGTGAGGGTTTTGTCAAAAACCTGGGCGAGCTCCAAATTATCCACCCCCGCCGCGGGCTGGAGGCCGCTGCTGGTCAACTTCTCGCACAATTCCTCCACGAGGGGCCGGAGCAACCCGCGGTCCTTCTCCCCCTCCACGACCGGGATGAGAATAAACTGCGGGAGGCCGGCGGTGTGGGCCATCACCTCGTCCGCCAGCCCCCAGGCCTCGTCCGCGCGGGCGCTCGAGAAGGCGATTTGGTCCTCCCTGACGGCGTAGAAGTAGAACCGTCGGGTTTGGAAGGCGTAGGCGAGCAGGAAGACGGTCAAGACCCCCCGCTTCCGGTCCTGGCGCTCCTGCTCCTGCACCTTCGCCGAGTCCTTTTCCCGGCTGAGGTTGACCTGGAGGTCGGCGAAGTGGGCGCGCACGCCGTCCGCGAGGGCGGCATCGAGCGAGAGGGGGACCTGGAAGAACTCGGCGTAGCCCGCGGCGGCCTCCAAACGGGGGGTTTGGCCCTTCAAAAGGGCTTTTTGGGCCTCCAACAGTAGCCCCAGCGAGGCCGCGGGGCGGGCCCAGCGCAGGCCCCGCGGGCCCATCCAACGCCGCATCCTACGCAACACCCAAAGGACGGGAGGGGGAGGAAGGAATATATAATAATAATAATAATATAGCGAATCCTACTATATGAATGGCTTTTTTTCTTTGCCAGGATACGGTTTGGACGTTAATAAGAACGTGCTAAAAAAATAATAAAAAAAAATTAGAAATACAATGCATATAATAATGCAATTTTTATATGTAAAAAAAAGAACCGCAGCCAACTGTGGATATGGGTTGTGAGAGGGAGAAGGGGGAGGAAAGAGCAAGATGTTAGGGGGCGTTGGCGGAACCATGCATAGGAGGGGATTGACAAAATAGACAAACCATTTCAATGTAGAAAGTCCGCGTTGGTAATAAATTCGGTGTTGGATGAAAATTCAATGGACTTTTGAATTTCAAAAACAACCCCAAAAAAGTTGTCTGCGATATATATATATATATATATCTATAGTCTTATCCTCTTCCTTTTCGGTGGTGATTGAGATTACTTAGAATATCAGATCGAGGAGGATTGAATATTAAAAAAAGGGGTTTGAGGAAAATATCAAACCTTATATTTTGTGTTATTCGTATCGCTTGTGCCAATGAAATGGGTTTGTTTCCTACTGATTTTACCTTTTCATAGAAAACAAACCTTCTCACTCCTTTCTGGACAATAATACATATTCTCCCAACGCTATCAGAATCTCGAACTGGCACCATGTCCCTAAACGAATAGCTTGGAAATTGTGCCTTGAACTATTCAATGTTGATCTAAACTCCCCCATTTTTTTTCATTGGAATGAAAAAAAAACGGGATGCAGATCAATTCAGCTTTAACGAAATAACAGTAAAAGCAAGTGTATTTTTTTCAGTTGTGTCGTAATTATTTCAAGATAGAATGTGCCCCTAAAGGTGTTTTCACTTTTTTTTAGCAAGAAGGCATTGATTCTCAAAAAGTGATTGAGTTTCTTGCTTTAGAAAAGGGCACCATAGGAATCCATTAACCGATAACAACACTTTTACGTTTATACACACAAAACAAATAAGAAGAAAAAAGTAAAGACCACCAGAGAATCAGACATTTCACTACCTTTTTTTTTTTAAGTGTAGGAAAGATAGTTTTGCAATGAAAAACTATTGAATAACTTTAAGAAGTTTACATAAAAATGGATATATCAATCATGTATTTAAATTATATTTCTTCCATTTCCAACTCACAAGTGATCCAAGGAGAGCAGCTTCATGGCTAACAAAAAAGAGTCAATAAATAGGAATGCTTAGAAAAGATGAGAGGAAAATGTGTTCCTACATTCTTTTCTTATCAACATAAACTAAACAATATAGTCACATAAAAAAAAGGAAAAACAACAACCTAAGCATATATATCCAGATATTAATTCGCATCCCTATTCCATAATTTATGTAAAAGAGAAGGGTTCAGCCTTCCCCTCCTCTCCTTTTTTTTCGCCTCCGCCGTAGTAATTAGTCACTTGGGTTTAGCACTTTTTGACATATTGCTCGATCCATTCACTGAAGTAGATGTGCGGGATTTAACTAAGTCTTCCAGATCTGTGTAAACATTTTTAAGCTCTAAATAGCACGTCCGCATTTCCTCCATCGCGTTTATATAAACCGCACTGACCTTTCGCATCTGGACGAGCTCATCGTAAATGGAAAGCACCCTGGAATGAGGATCGAGTTTCCGAATTTTTTTATAGACCTCAGACACTTTTAGATTGTTTTCCTCATACCAGGTATTACACTGCGCTCTTTGTTCTTTTAGTTTTTCTCGTAGGGCGACATTTTCGCGATGGAGTCTTTCATTTTCTGTTTGTAAGAAGTTCAGTTCTTTTCTAGGGCTGTTGTGGGTCATCATCTATTAGTTTCATATTTACAATGTACTTCTAACAAACACGGCAAAATAGAGAAAAAGTGAGGAGGAGAGGGACTGAAAGAATTACTCACATCATCAGAGCTGATAGGGAAAGAGGGTAGAAGGGAAATACATTTGATATTTCGCTATTTGCACATACCCTCCCCTGTTCCTTAAAAAATAAAAATGCAAAATCTAACCCAATAAAGGCAACTAAACCCCATAGGGCAGCAGTAAAGCAACCCCCAATGCCGGTCAATCAATCCAGTGATATAAGTATATTCAGAAAGGAACACGAACTGACGACATCAAGGCCATTCCTTCTTTCCCATACCTACACGCCCTTCTCTTTTTTTTTTGTTTGTATTGTGGCTTGACCATTATTGCAACTTTTATTCGTCCGATATTGTATTCTTTGGCTTCGGGTTCACCGGCACCATAAAGTTATCCGTCAAAGCCCACCGCCGCCTCGACCAGTAGGGCCGTCGATTTGTCGTTTTCTTCAAATCATCCACGACGAAGGCCGCCGGGTCATCCGAGGCGAACATCGTATTCGGCCCCAGCGCCTCGCCGGGGTGGGGGTTCCCCCAATTGATCGGCGTCCGCGCGGGGCCCTCGAAGCGCTCCTGGACGACCCGCTCGACGACCGCGGC